CAGAAGATGCAAACTAAACTGGTTTAAGTGCCCTCATTTTCTTAACTTCAAAGCCACCGAGCACGGGGCAAGGTTACTTTCCCGAAAGTATTGTACCTCCTTGGTTTTCATTGACTCTCATGCTCTTCTCTACGCCAAATCAAACTCCAGAGAGTACCAAACTTGAAGATCTAGAAAGTTTGGCACATTCCCAGCCCTGGTTGTCTGTGTCCTGGAAAACCAGTCGTTAGATCCCACTATTGCTGGGACACAGCCATAGCTGGGTCAGCGCCAGCCTCCAGGGCACAGTCTCTGTGTCTGAGGCACGTGGAGCCCTGCTGCCCTCCTCAGCACTCACTGAGTCTGCCCCACTTTCTTCTTCTTCCAGCTCCCAAATGTTTGCCTGACCGTCGGCTTCCTGATTCTAGGCCATTTTCCTGAGCTTTCAGTCATCTCCTTTATCTTGACTCCTGAGAGCTGTAGGTGTCCCACTTTTTCCCACCCAAATAAGAAAAAGTAGAATTTGTGCAACAGTTGGGAAATTTCTGTGTGTTTTAACAGTGTATATACAGTGACACAAAAGCTGTCGACATTTCATATTTGTGTTTGTAATAATTCAAGTCTAGAATTTTTCTTACATTCCTTCTCATCCCAGTCAATAAATAGTTCTGATTGTGTAACTCTGGGGAGATAAGAGATTTCTATTGACCCTATGTAAGTTCTTTGAGATAAGATAGCATTCTTAGCAGTATATACATAAGGTATGTATAATGAAAAATAATATCCTTCAAAATAATGAAAATTTTAACATTCTAATACTAGCTTTTTTAGGCAAAAGAGACACCAGTTTAACAGTACCATATCAGTATTTGGAAGTAATTCCTGCATAATAGAAACACCAATTAAGATCTAATTCTGTATGTATTAAATTACTTCAGCAAAGAAGATTTTATCATATCCTTTGCTTACAAATATCTTTGTATAAATGAAAACTTATAGAATGAGAAAGATTATCTCATTCATCTGTAAGCTCCAGGTAAAAGGTTTTCTGGAGCTTATATACCCACTTTGTTGAGAGGTGTGTTTTTTTATTTTTATTAAGTCATAAATGGATGTTGAATTCTGTTGAATGCTGTTTCTGTTTCCGCATCTGTTGAGGTGATCATATGACTTTTATTTCGTATTGCTAACGGCTATACCACGGTGACTGATCTGCAGATGTCGAACCATCCTTGCATCTCTGAAATAAATCCCTCTTGGTTATTATGGTATGAGATCCTGTTAACACATTGTTAAATTTAGTTTGCCCGCACTTTGTTGAGGATTTTTGCATCTGTGTTCATGGGGGATACTGGCCTGTGATTTGTGGGTGTGTGGATGTCTTCATCTGATTTGGGGGTCAGGATAGTGCGGGCCTCATAAAATGAGTGTGGAAGCATTTGTCCTCCTCAGTTTTTTTGTAATAATTTGTGAAGGATCAATATTAATTCTTTAAATATTTGGTAGAATTGTCTTGTAAAGATATCTTGTTCTGGACTTCTGTTTGAGAGTTTTTAAATTACCAGTTGAATGTCATTACTTGTAGTCAGTCTATTCAGGTTTTCTGTTTCTTCATGATTAAGTAAAAATGGCTCTCACCAACACCTCCAGCCCCAGAGAGAGTGCCAGCAGTGTCACCCGTTTGGCAGATGCTGTAGGGTTAGAAATGGATTTCCTTCACATATAGCCTATATCTTTACTGCACTGCGTTTTCATGTGCACAGGGCGGGCCAGTCTGCACGAGGCCCCTCAGCGGTGTCCCACCTAGTGCAGTTCACCGCGTCAGGGGTGGGTTGCTTTTGTTATCATGTCTCTGTCTTCCACCTTCTCTCTGTGGTCGCTCTGTCACTTGTACAGAAGCTGTTCAATCAGTCCTCATTTATTGTTCAGGGGTGTTTCTCTATGTGTAGGTATATATTCAGTGTGTCTGCAGGAGGAGGTGAGTTCAGGGTCTTCCTAACTAGCATCTTGGACCTTGTGAGAGCCTGAAACATCTTGTGTCCAGAAAGTAAAGACATTCCCCAAAATCATGAAAGTATATCAAAAGGACACAGGGACTGACTTAAAGTTGTTTGTTTTCCCTTCTCCCAAGCTGGTTCAGTTTAAGCAACAAAGTAAATAATGATAGTACTAGATTATAACCCATAAAATAAAATTAGAGTCCATACCCATGTAAATGAATAATTGAACTACTAGCTGGGGTAGACGGGACAGGTCTTCATTTATCCATCACAGAATACTAATTGATGAATGTAGAAGAATAAGGAAATTGGAAATCAACATTATTGATTTGTACCACAGTAGTAATTATTCCATTCAAGAACCAGAGATGGATGCCTACAGTAGTGGGTAAAAGTTTGATGTAAAAAAGGAGAATGCATAATCTCCAAATATCTTCCCACAGACATTTGTTACTTATACAGGGAAAAAACTTTACAGTGGCAAAACCTGTAAGACAGCCCTTTAGTCATTTGATCAGAGTTAATATACCAGTAATAAAGCATCAGTAACACATAACCAAAGATGATGCACTGAGAAAGGCATCGCTTCTCTGGTATTCTTTCCAAAAATACATACTTTCATTTTAATGAGAAATCATTAGATAAAAACAAATTAAGAGACATTCTGCTAAATAAATGGCCTGGACTGTTCCAGAGTATCAAAGGTATAACCCAAACCTAGAAGCATCTGTCACAGAATCAAGACGACTAAGGAAGTGACAACCAAATTCATGGGGGTCCTGCATTGGATACTTGACCAGAAAAAGACTGTTAGTGGGCAGAAATGGCAAAATTTAAATAAGACCTGTTGATGACTTAATAGTATTATATCAGTGTGAATTTTCTTATTTCAATATTTGTGCCATGGTTACATAGCTGGGTGAAGAATGTATAGGAACTGTATATTTTTGCAACCTTTAGGCAAGTCTAATGTTATTTCAAAATTGGCGTGATTCTTTTAGAGGAAGGAGACTTGGAATAGATGAAGAGGTAGCTTCTGAGGTCTCTTCCATCTAGCTGTATTGTTCCACGCTACACTGATGCAAACCAAGAACGGCAGATTCAAGTTCTTCCCTTTCCTGTTTGTCAATTAAGAAATCTATTGAGACAGCTGAAACCAGGAGCAGATTCTAAACTGTCAGTTCAGTTTAGTGGGACACATGCTAAGAGCTACTACGGCTGTCCCCAGTACTGCCCTGAGTGAGGGCCCTTGCCTCCAGGACCATCACAGCGGACTGAAGCTTGAAAGTGATGTGGTCTTCGTTCAGTCACTCGGATTCCTAAGGTCTCTCTTCATTGGGTATTTTAAATAGCGGAGTTGGAAAGTCTTAGAAATCTTTAAGAGTAAAAGCCCCCAAATTGGGCCCCAGATTTTTCAATCTGGGTGTCTGATGAAATAATGATAAATGTTAAATAAGATAAGCAACCTAGGGAGCCTTTGATATTAAACACTTTGTCTCTGAGGGACCAATAGAACATTCACATGTAGATTACCACCAGACAATTGAATATTTCGTTGTAGGCTAGTATGAAGGTGCGTGCGTTTGAGAATGATGGGCGATGTAATTCGGGCATTCCCTTAATGCTCATTTGCTGGGTCATTATAATGAATTAAGCCTATATTTTCTTATCCTATTAAGACAAATTGCTGAAAGATAATTGGTGTGTCTATTTAGCAGATCTTTACTGTCGAGAAGTCTTAACTAGTTCAGGAAATGTACTGCAGTCAAGTTAGGAAGTTATGACTTAAGTGCAAACCCCATTGGTCAAGATGAATTTTCATTCTTGGTCATTAGGGGCCCTGTTTCTATCTTTTTGTTTTGTATATTTTTTCTTTAGTCTAAGTGAAGTATTAGGAAAAAGAAAAATGGGTAAATAAAATGGAAGTCTAGTGCCACAATATATTTGATGGAAAATTTTAAGAAATTGATTTTCATCATCATAATTGCAGTGAAAGTCTTAGCCCTGACACTTTTGTGAGTGTGATGTCTTCTGTGTATCTTATTTCTGCAGTGAGAATGTACAGTGCACACAAGGTTTTCAAGTCTCCACAGAACTGAAAAGTCAGTGTGGGTTCTCTACGTCGAGAAGTGTACACTGTCAGCCTAAGGTGTTTTTTAATCTTTCAGCTCTTTTAAGGATCAAATATTATTAGAAAAATAAGCCATGGGCATTACAAATGTGGTCTGGTGAAATTCAATATTCACAATGACAATTCAGAATATGAGCTCCTTGGGGGAAAGTTAGCCCACCACTCTAACTTTGCATTCAAATATCTTAAAGTATGCCATTGGTTTTATGAAAAGGTTTTGATCTACACTTCTAGTTTAAGTTCAAAAGAAACCTACATTTTAAAGTGTATTCCTTTTCTGGGTATATTTACTTTGAACTACAGCATATAGTTTTTCTCATAAATCTAACCTGCCACTATCTGTTTTTAAGACTTTGTAAACTTCAAGTGGTTATGATGTGTGAAGTTTGGATTAAACTAAATTTTTTAGAAAACACATGTTATATATTTTGATTGTTTTGATTTTAACATGAGCCAGTCAAAAACTTGAGTGTCTAGCAAAGTAATATACTTTGCTCTTACTGTAAGAAATCACAGAAAATTGCCCTTTCTCATCATGTTAACAATAGACAAATGAAGCAGCTGTTCTTATTCTTAATGTAGTTGTTTGAAAAACTTGCACAATTTAATGAAAATGTCTCTACTCATAAAACTTAAAATGCTCACACATGGAAAAAGTCATAATGTTTTGGCAAATACTGCTTTGTTAGGAATGTGAATGAGGGATACCTGCTCCGTAACTAAAATGCTATATGAGTGGCACAAAACAAGGAGGGAAAGCCAGTGAGAAAGAAGACGCTGACAAAGGACAAATCTGTGCTCTTTAAACATACGATGGTTTTGCCCAAACGTATTTTTTGACAAGGAAGAATTAATATTTATGTCCCTCTCCATTTCTTTTTATTTTTCAGGTGTAATTCTTGGGTCATCATTTCTGCTCAGCGTAAACGATTTGCTCCTCAAAACAAGCCTCAGAGAAAGAAGTCGGATTCTGATAGGCCCCTGCTGCGCCGCTGCCGAGCTGGAAGCCAAGTGGTGCAAGCACAGCGGCAACGCAGGCCCCGAGCAGTGCGTCCCCAAGCTGTCCATCGCTCTGAGTGGAGGGCTGCTTCAGGTGTGTGCGCGTGGGCTCCCCCTCTCCCGCAGCTTTTAACTAGCCTTTGTTCATTGTGTTTACTCTCTCACTGAATTTTAAATCTGGATGTGGAGAGAAAGGGTATTATCAGATTGCCGTCTCATTAAGTAGTTTTAACAGCTTTCTGGAGATGTAATTCACACACCCTACAATTCACCTGATTAGAGTATACAATTCGCTGGATCTTCAGTACTGTATAGTCACAAAGTTGAGTAAACATCACTTCTGCTCACTTGAGCACAGTGCACACACACCCCTCCAGCACCTCGTACTCATCAGCACTTGCTCCCCATTATCCTGCCGTCCCCTTTCCAGGTTTGCGCCACCACTAATCTGTTTTTATTTTCTGTTTCATTCAACTCGTATGGATATTTCATGTAAATGTGTGTTCTTTTGTGAGTGGCTTCTTTCACTTAACATAGTGTTTTCATGGGTCACTGATACTTTAGCAGATGCCACCACTTCACTTCTTTTTATGGCCCAATAGTACTCTGTGGTGTGGACATTCCATTTATTGTCTATCCCCTTGCCAATTGATGGGTATTTGGGTTCTTTCCACTTTGGGCTATTATGATAAACACTGCGATTAACATTTGTGTACAAGTTTTTGTATGTACATGTTTTCCTTTCTCTTGGATACATGACTAGGAGTGGAATTGCTAGGTCATTAAACTTCTTTCTAATGTGGAGACTTTTCTCATTACAAAGTAGCCCAGCTATCACAAGCACAGATTCATCAGCAATATATAAGAAACATTTTCTAAAAGAAAATTTCTTAGATTAAATTTTAATGTCTGATGACTAACACTTGACATGTAAGTAAAATTGCAACCTTTTTATTCTTTGTTTAGAGCCAAGTATTCAAATGTTCTATTTGGATAGATTTTAATGTATTCTTTATATGACTTGATATCCCCCAAATTTGACACAAATTCAAAAGCTTGAGAAATTCACAATTATAGAAAATGAAAGTGACTGATTTGTTAATAATGGAGGTATGTTATATCAATATTTAAATATCTTGTTTTCATCTAAAAATTGTGTTACCTCAACTTTTTCATCACTTTTCTTTTTTTAAATATATGTTATTGATAATGTTATTACAGTTCCAATTTTTTCTCCTCTTTTTCCCCTTCCACCCTGAACCCCTCCACGCTTCAGCATTCCCCCCCACCCTTAGTTCATGCCTGTGGGTTGTACATATAAGTTCTTTGGCTTCTCCATTTTCCATGCTATTCTTAACCTCCCCATGTCGATTTTGTACCTACCAATTATGCTTCTTATTCCCTGTACCTTTTCCCCCATTCTCCCCTCCCACTCCTCTCTGATAACCCCCCATGTGATCTCCATTTTTGTGATTCTGTTCTTGTTCTAGTTGTTCGTTTCGCTTTTGTTTTTTAGGTTCAGTTGTTAATAGTTGTGAATTTATTGTCATTTTACTGTTCATAATTTTTTATCTTCTTTTATTTCTTAGATGTGTCCCTTTAACCTTTCATATAATAATGGCTTGGTGATAATGAACTCCTTTAACTTGACCTTATCTGGGAAGCATTTTATCTGCCCTTCCCTTCTAAATGATAACTTTGCTGGATAAGTAATCTTGGATGTAGGTCCTTGTCTTTCATGATTTTGAATACTTCTTTCCAGCCTCTTCTTGCCTGTAAGGTTCCTTTTGAGAAATCACCTCATAATAGTCTTATGGGAACTCATTTGTATAGAACTCCCTCCTTTTCTCTTGCTGCTTTTAAGATTCTCTCCTCTTTAATCTTAGGTAACTTAATAATGATGTACCTTGGTGTGTTCCTCCTTGGGTCCAGCTTCTTTGGGACTCTCTGAGCTTCCTGGACTTCCTGGAAGTCTATTTCCTTGGCCAGATTGGGAAAATTTTCTGTCATAATTGTTTGAAATAAGTTTTCAGTTTCTTGCTCTTCCTTTTCTCCTTCAGGAACCCCTATGTTTGGGATGTTGGAGTGTTTAAAGTTGTACAAGAGTTTCCTCAACCTCTCCTCACTTTTTGAATTCTTATTTTTTTGTTCTGTTCCAGTTGGATGTTTATTTCTTCCATCTGTTCCAAATCATTTATTTGAGTTCCAGTTTTCTTCCCTTCACTATTGGTTCCCTATATATTTTCCTTTACTTCACTTCATATACCCTTCACCTCTTCCTTCATTTTGCAACCAAATTCAACCATTTCTGTGAGCATCCTGATTACCACTGTTTTGAACTCTGCATCTGATAGGTTGGCTAACTCCTCATCACTTAGTTCTTTTCCTGGAGTTTTCATGTGTTCTTTCATTTGGGCCATACTTCTTTGTCTAGGCATTGCCTAGTATGTTGTAAGAGGGTGGAGCCTTAGGTATTCACCAGGGCAGGGCAACCCTCTTTGTTGCATTGAGGTGTGCTATGGGATGGGGGGGGTGGTCAGAGAGGGAACAATGCTGCTTGCTGGGCTCTCTCCCCACTTTCTGCCCCTCACTTCCCACAAGCAAATTGGGACTTTCAGGTGCTGATTCCTAGGTGGGTAGGTTTGTGTACATTTTAGAACCCTGTGGGTCTCTATAGTGAACTCTCCAATGAGGCTAGGAGTTTCTCCTGCTGCCACAACCCCCACAGGTGTTTACAGCCAGAGGTTTTGAGTCTTTAGTTTCCCACACTGAAACCCTGGGTTTCGCAGTCTGTCTCCCGCCGAGTTGTTCCTTCCTGTCTTACCCGCTCATGAATATGGGACTGCCCGATCTGCCAACCTCTGCATCGCTGACCACCTTGCTAATGCATCCTCACTGCCCTGGCTGCTCTTCTCTGCCCCTCCTTCTGGTCTGGACAAATGTTTCTTCTTTAATTCCTTGGTTATTGGGCATCCATGCAGTTTGATTTTCTGGCAGTTCTGGTTGTTTTTTTTGTTTTCAAATTGGTTGTTTTCCTTCTTTTGGTCATGCAAGGAAGCAAAGCATTTCCACCTACGCCCCCATCCTGGCCAGAACTCCTTTCATTGGTTTTCTTACTGGCCTAGAACTTGATATGCAGGCTGGTATCCTAATAACTTACTGTTTGTACTGCTGGGAGATTTTCTGCATATATCAGAAATCTTCACATATTTAACAATAAAGTGTGTAGTTTTATGTTGTGTTATCCAGATCATTAATCGTATTACCATTTTTTCAGGCCAGCAGAGTAATTCCATATTAAAACAATAAGAGCAAAGCCACAGTATATCATCTCTACAGTATAAAGTCTCTGACTGTCTCTTGACAATTTGAAGGCTGGAGCAGAGTGTTCACCTTGACTCTTCACCTATCTCAGTTTTTTTAGATCCAGTAAAAATAATATTGATGAGACCATAAGTAGATTTCCTATTGTATCTTTTACCTTCATATCTGAGATGCCTTAATTCCAGAGAACAGGACCAATATCTATGATGTCTAGGAACTTAACCACAGCCAGAGAACTACTTTTTCTACCTCTCTATATTCTTTTTGTGTGTGTTTTTTATGGATTTCTTAGAAGATTGTATTGCCTTTATTCAGTATATTCAGAGAAAATTTTTTTAATAGCATTGAAATTTGGAATCCATGATTATTATTACCTGTTGGTCAGACTTCTGTTTTAGACTGGTGTTCTTCACGTGCAGAAAAGGGCACTTGCCCCTCGCGGTTAGAGGAAGCACAGAGACCTGCGCTCAGAATCTCTCCTGCGGCCCCTGGTGCAGTGGTTCCCGGGCCGTGCGGGCTGCGTGCGCGTGTGCTCTCCCTGGGCACAGACGTCGGGAGACTTTTTTTTTTTTTTTTTTTTTTAAAGATTTTATTTGTTTATTTTTAGAGAGGGAAGGGAGGGAGAGAGAGAGAGAGACATCAATGTGCGGTTGCTGGGGGTTTTGGCCTGCAACCCAGGAATGTACCCTGGCTGGGAATCGAACCTGGGACACTTTGGTTCCCAGCCCGCGCTCAATCCACTGAGCTACGCCAGCCAGGTGGGAGACTTCTGAGATTAGGTTCATTTAGCCTCTGCATCACTTCTTCTCTTCAAAGTGAAAGTGCAGAGAAAGGAACCCTATGATCAGTATGCATCTGGTTAATCTCATGACAAAATTTAGGAAGCTATTCTGACGAGGTTATTAGTAGTTCATTAACATTTTGGCCTAGAAGACCTGAATTTTCTTTTCTCAGACTATAATAGGTGTTCTTTTCCCTCTTAGCTAAGTTAATTAATAAACATTACCTCACATTTACTTAATTTCATCATTAATTTAGCACTTAAAATTGATTGTTATTCACATAATATATGATGTAATTGATTTTGTTGTCTTTATATATTTATTCAAGCAATAGAATTATACTCTACAGGTCCAGTTACTTAGATACTGTAGTTTAGTTATTGTCAGTAATTAAATTAAACATAATTGCGTCTTGCATTAGTTCAAATATGATTGTACCTAATTGTCTTCATGAAATGTTTGTATTTTAAAGCCACTAAAATTTTTCATATGGTTTTAAAGGTTTTCTGGGGTCAAGAACATTTGAATTGTTTAGTTCTTCTACATGAATTGCTCAGTGGATATCTTAATGAGGAGAGAAATTGTGAAGTTTCCGAAGCAGCGCAGCATGGGCCGCCTCCTGTGGAAAAGAACCAGACGTTTAAAAGCGAACAAAGTTCCGATGACCTACGGACAGGTCTGTTTCAGTACATAAGAGACGCTGGTAAGTAGTGGCAGCTTCAGAATAAGATCACTTGTAAAGTGCATGAATAACCTGCAGTACTAAAATAGTAAATCACCTTTCAGGACCTCTAAGGGAAAATTCTTGATTTGTTCCCATTTCAAACCACATAAAAATGACCAGCCAACTTCTTTATAAATTTTTCTTTTATCCTCATAACATTTTTCTTGCTGTCATAAACCAACATGTTTCCCTTCAGAAGCATACAAATAATTATACTTTCATTGAACAGAACCCCTGAAAATGCCTGGTGTCTATGAAGTCTTGTTTTACAATGAAACCGAAGATAGCCCAGGGATGATGTTATGGCGATACCCGGAACCCAGAGTGCTCACCCTTGTACGAATAACTCCCGTGCCCTTCAACACCACGGAGGATCCAGACATTAGCACAGCAGACCTCGGTGACATGCTACAGGTGTGTGTGTTGTTAAAATTGAAATGCTGTGGGGAAGTGCTGATTCGGTACTGGGAAAAGTGTTTAGAATGTACCTATTTTTTCCATTAACAGTATCAGAGAGAAATACACACATATGTATACGCTCAAAATATTTTAAAATATATAATGGAATAATACAATTCATATCTGTAGTAGTACATGACAATTTCAAGAGGTCTCAGTTCTATTCTTAGTCCTGTTGGTAGGTGGGTCCTGTGGTCTCTAAGACAAACAGGTGTCATTCGGTTCACCACGCACTTTGTGACCACCTACCGTATGCTCACAGCTCCCCAGCATTTCTGGAGCTGCTCTGTGAAATAGAGTGTGTCCACACAAAGCCAGAATGGGTAACTAAGTTTTCATTTCATTTCCACAGCTGAAAATTAAAATGGTCTTGGGGCTTGAGGCAGGCTAGTAGGAAAACCGTCTGACCAGCGATCATATTCTGTATAGTTTTGGGAAAGTTTATTTCTTTCCAGGTCCCTGAGTTTAATGTAAATGTCATTATGGATATCACTCTATTATCATTCTACTTACTAATATTCTGTGAATCTGAATTTCTCCAGATGAAATGTGTTTTTCTCTTAGTCTTGTACCTACTACCAGATGATACAACCAACTGCTCACAGCCTAGGAATCATTCCTGGAATCATTTGCTCTCTTTCCCCATCTCCCTGCACCTAAGTGATCAGCAAGTCCTGTGACTTCCACCTCCAGAACAGGTCCCTATTCCATCCGTCTCTGTTTCTACCGGTGCAACTCAGGTCCAAGCCCATCTTCTGTTCCGCATTACAGTAGCTTCCTAATTATCTCTAGGATTTCATTCTTGACCTCTTGTAATGCATTTTCCGAACAGCAGCTGAAGTGAACTTGTAAACATGTAGACCAGGTCACATTACTCCCCTAAATTACAATATTATGCTGACTTTCTCTGACACTTAGAACAAAATTCACATTCTTGTGTGGCCTACAAGGACCTGTGATCTGTGCCCTTCCCGCCTCTCTGACTGTGTCCCCCTTTTCCTGGAGCACCCCACTTCAGAGTCCTGTCCCTTGTCCTGTTCCCCATATTTGTCAGTCAGGTGCGAGCGCAAATGTCATATCCTGGCGTGCTCACTTTTTCCAATACTGCATTACCTTGTTTGACTTTCTCCATAGCTGTTTTTGCTATTCAGAATTATCCTATGCACTTATTTATTCTGTTGCTTACAGTCTTTATATCTCTACTGTTAGAAAATAAGGTTCTTTTATGCCTTGGTCACTTATCCCCAGCCTTTGGTACATAGCGATATTCACCATTTTTTTTAAATTACTGCTCCATACTTAATTATTTTTAATATTCTTGATCACGATGCATTAGTCGGATGTTCACCTTCTGAGCGGGTAGCAGCAGCGCAGGCCAGCATTTTGTGGGTGAGCCAGAGCATGCTGGGTGCCCGATGGCCAAGCTGCCGGCTCTCTGCACTCCAGGTCTTTTATTTCTTATCACGAGAACTTTTAAGTGGCTCTGCTTTGGTTTTTAAATCCTCAGATTTGTTTTCCCTCCTATCAATGCCATGTTCATGATCACCTTCTCTACCAGTATTCCTGCACCTAAGTGATCAGCAAGTCCTGTGACTTCCACCTCCAGAACAGGTCCCTATTCCATCTGTCTCTGTTTCTACCGGTGCAACTCAGGTCCAAGCCCATCTTCTGTTCCGCATTACAGTAGCTTCCTAATTATCTCTAGGATTTCATTCTTGACCTCTTGTAATGCATTTTCCGAACAGCAGCTGAAGTGAACTTGTAAACATGTAGACCAGGTCACATTACTCCCCTAAATTACAATATTATGCTGACTTTCTCTGACACTTAGAACAAAATTCACATTCATAAGTTTTGCTAATAAAACAGCAATGTCTTTGAATCCTACTGTCTTATTAGACTTCTGTAAATGCAGAACACCTATGGTGTTTTCAGTCAAAATGAAAATACTCATATGTCAAAGTTTCAGCCTTCCATATGGGCTTCTTTCTGATTTGGGAGATCAGATTTATAGCTAATGTTAATATATTTGTGAACATCAACCTGATAACTTCTAGTAATAGTACTGTATTATGCCAGGGATAGAAAATAGGGCACTTAGGGTAGAAAGTACATTCATTTACAACATGTACTTCACCTCCTCACTGTCTTTGGAGAGGCTGGATGGCACCATGGTGAAGAGAGTGAACTGCGGCCCGAATGCTGGGCGTCAAATTCTGGCTCTGCCACTGGCAGACCATGTCACCTTAGACAAGTCAATCTCTCAGCCTCAGGTTCTTTGTCTTGCCTTTTTTAAATCAATAAAATGAAGCTATTAATAATCTGATTGTGATAGGCATTAATATTAATAGAACAATGCCTGGCACACGGCAAGTGTAAGGGTGAGGACTGCCATTTCTATCGTGATGACTGTCACCAAAATCATTCTCACGGAGCAGAAAGAGCGGGGCTGATGACTCCACAGGCCAGCTGGAGACAGCCAGAGGATTGGGACAGCCCCAGGGGCCCGGACAGCGGGCCCGGCAGGTTTCGGCAAGCAAGGAGTCGGGAGCAGAGAGGCCCTGCCATATTTCCTATCTTGTTGGAGAACTAGGAGCTGAGATGTGAGCAGAGCTCAAAGACAAGGATGCTGGCCTGATACTAAGACATGGTTGCACCTACTGTAAGTTGAAAGGGAGACCTCGATCCCAGTGGTGAGAGGGAACACCTGGAATCAACAGCTGGGGTGTCTGGCAGAGCAGGACAGGCAGAATTTGCCATGCTGGTGAGCTCCTGGTTCAACCCTTATACAGCATGTTCTCGAATAACGATGTTTCGTTAGAACATTAATGAGATGCTGCAGGACCTTAACTCTTGTTTATGTCAGTTAGCATGTGGTAAGTTTGGTTTCATTATCCATTGTTTTGCCACAGTTCCAACAACCTATTGACAATGTTGAGTGAGAACTTACTAAATACCCCTGGCTAGGAACAGAATTTGTCCCAGGGATTGGGGAGCACCTAATCTGTGGAAATAATTCTGTGTTGTCATCTTAGAACCACGCAAACTGTTTTGTGTCCTTGGAACTTCTGTTCGAATTAGAAAAGGTGCTGTATGAATCATAAGTTTGATTCGTTATGACAGTTTTTCCTTGAGTACTTCCCTGGGCTTGCTCCTGGGAACTCAGAGACAGGTAAGAACAATGTCCACTCATACGAGGCTCTCAGTCTAGCAGGGACATTACTCTGGCCATCTAGGATAGAAGTCTCCCTAATTTCAGCTTTCAAGGAGAACCTCTCTGTTGTCAGAATCATTCTCATGCTAGATGTCATTACCTCTGGGTCCAGAGGCACACCTAAGACATTGGACCACCGATCCTGAATTGCAGGGAGCTTATGAAAAGGCCTTTGATCATAATGGTGTTGTGCAGATATCATGGACAGTAAAGTTCCAACAGCTGATTCCTGCTCCCCTCCCCTTTTTATTTTACTAACTCAGTGACCTTAGTGATCTCTTTGAGCCCTAATTTCCTCAACTGAATACTGGGGTTAATGTTGTTTACCTTTCGGAGTTGTCTTGAGAATTAAATGAAATATTATTGTTAATAGTAACACATGCCTTACACATTGTGAGTTCCTTCCCTGTACCCCTCCTTTACGAACAATGCTGGGACCACTAAAAGAGCCCCCTACGTGGGATTCCAGTCTTTAGTCTCTTTCCCTTTTGAACTTTCCTACCACATTCTTCAAGTGCAGGTGGACTGCATGACTCCCCTTAGAAAAACCTTCAGTAATTCCTCCACCCTGCCAGACTGGCCTTGAGGCCCCTCCACAGTTTCCCGACCCCTCGGCCAGCTCTCCTTTCACTCCCCTCTGTGTGGTCCATGCTGGAGTCCGACGGGCCTGCTCAGCACTCCCCGAACCAGCTGATTACATCCTGCTTCCATCCCGCTCGCCTTACTTCAGCGCTAGAGAAAAATCTCTCCTTTTCTGCTGAAATCCTGGCCACACGTCCAAACAGCTCACCACCTGCCATCAATTTCATGAAGTTGTTCCTGGACACCAGCTTCTAAACATTATACCACCTTCCTCTAAAGTCCTCTAACACGGCACCACTTTTATGCTATTTCTCATCCCACCCCTCGCATTTTAACTATGTGTCTGTATCTGGTCTCCCTCCTAAATTGTAGGTTTCTGTAGAAATGGTCATTACCTGCTCTGTAGTATCCGCTGCCGTGGAGATGCTCCGTAAATACTTTGAATGGATGAATGACTGCATGAATGGAATGTTCCTATTTCATATTATTCAAAAGTAGTACATTGTTTGTCATTATTTTATGGGAGCTATTGAGTAAGTTTTGGTTTTACAAACTGAATTATGTCAGAATGCATTGTTATGCTTCAGTGGTATTATCTACCATAAACACACAGTCTAATGTGATTACATTACACAGGCTCTTGGTGAGGTCATTGAATAGTCTGCCAAGCCCACTGCCCCCTAGACAGAGGCTAGTTCTTAAAGACAAAGATAAGTTAATCTCCTTGGTTTCGGTCCTAAAAACAATTGAGTTTGGATAACTTTTCCTTCAGGACCATTTAGTTCATAAAAAACTGACCTTAAAGAGTTCCCTTATACAGAACCCTCGTATTTGTCTGTTTATGTATCTTTCCGTGATTGATAATGGGATTTATAAACAGGTTCCCCATATGACTTTATGGAATTTATTTTGCAATTGTAATGAAAAATATGGAAAACATGTCTATAATATTAAATCAAACTAAGCACCGGTTCTAACTAAAGACCCTGAAATTAATGTTCACAGAAAGCAAAAGGAGCTTATTTAGTGATCAATTTGTTAAATTTTAGGTATTTATAGTATACTTAGGATCTGTAAGGTACAGTAATGCCGTCGACCTTGAAGGAATGTTTTGTGGTTTAAATGAGCTTAAAAATAAGAAATTTCTGGTACTATATCC